GATATTACTGCAGTAGTTGAGTGGAGTTGGCATTTCAAGACATTTCAAAAATGATTTCGGTGCGCGTTTCTAAGAACTATAATACATACATAGTATATAATTCACATAAAAATCATACAAGCATTTAAGATCCAGTTAGACCATTTAAGGTTTTGATTTCTATAGTTTGTGTTATTTATTTTATTTTATTTTATTATTTTATTTTATTAATATTATATTATATTGTTATATTATATTTTTATATTTATATAAAAAATTTATTAATGCGTTTTTATTGGGTCATCTAAAAAGTATCCGCGGTTTTTTGTCACTAGATGTGTGTTGATGGTCATATATCTAGTGACAAAGTACTTTTTAAATGACCCAATATACAAAATTTGAAATACTTTTTTTGATACAATACGTTTTCAATCATTACGCATGCGTGCGTAACATGCCCCAATCATATCTTCTGAGGTGAGGCAAATAGAGCGTGCTCTTAATTGATTCATGGGACATACATACTCTAACGCGACGCAAACATCTGTTGCCATATTGATTTCAGTGACGCGACCGTATGAAGCGTGCGAAGCGAACAAACTTAACATGTTACATCAATGATCACGTTTGGTGAAATTACAAATCATTAATGGTAAGTGACATAATTACATCAACTATAACTTTTCAAATATTTTAATACTTTAAATATAAATTGTCAATATATGTGTAACGAAATGTATAATAAATTTCGAAAAAAGAGAGAGTTAAAGAGAGAGAGAGAGGGAAGAAATTGCCATTCTATGATAATTAGATGCTTGTGTGTCGATCACGATTCAAATAATTACGAAGATGACCGCGTGAAGCGCTGTGCGTCTTCCGCTTCTTTTTGTTTCTCTCCGAGGCTGAGGCGCACTCTCTGAATCGGCCATTGTGTGGTTGTTTTTCCTTTTGTTCACGTGTGTGCTAAAATCCGTAGCAAAAGCAAGAAACACAGATTGTCTTCAACTTTAAAGGAAAATCTCTTTTAAAACCGTAACTTTAAAAGCAGGTTAAGGGGCTGATAGCCCGATTGAGGCTATTAGCTTAACATCAAAATCTCTTGAACTTGTATTGAATATAAAAGAAGATAAGTATGGTCAGCTCAATTTAATCAGTTTCGAGCTTCTATTAAGGTAAAATTCGTACATAAAATTGCACAGACGACTAGCAGTCCGTTCTGTAATTGTAACATAAACGGCTAGCAGTCCGTTTTATAATATTTTCATAAACGGCTAGAAGCCCGTTCTAATACATTCTGAATTAGAGAATCGCGGCTTATAACCGAATTTGTTGTTTTGGTTCTTTATAATTTTTTTCCTAGTATAGTCTAACTTGTTCATTAATGACGTTGTGAATGCTGCTCTCTTTAAAAATTCCACTTTTAATTGTTTTAATTAAATTGTAAAAAATATTAATAATAAACGTTTTCTCCGTTATTATATTTCTAAGAATCTGTCTCATTTTTTTTGTTAGTTAATGAGAGTACAAATTAGTTCGGTCCGTTTTCCAAAAGATGGCTCCGGCTGTTATGAATGGTTCATAGTGACAGCTGATTTTGGCGTTTTCAGAGAGGTTAGACATCTGCTAATAAGCAGATTCAGTTTATATCGCTTTGAGTTTCATATAAAAACCTTGATTTTTACTGTGTTTGAAATGTCGAATTTTGTGTTAACCAAGCAGCATTTGCGGGAGGTTCTAATTTTCTGCTTTAATTGGAAGAAAAGTGCAGCTGAAGTCCATCGAATGCTTGTCGAAGTTTATGGTGACATTGCTCCAACTGATAAATCATGTAGGAAATGGTTTCGACGTTTCAAGGATGGAGATTTCAGCGTGGAAGACAAGCCTCGCTCTGGAGAGCCAAAAAAATTCGAAGACAAAGAATTAGAGGCATTACTCGAAGAAGATCAGAGTCAAACGCAAGAGGAGCTTGCAGAATCATTGGGAATAACTCAACAAGCCGTTTCTGCACGATTGAGAACCATGGGAATAATTCAAAAACAAGGAAATTGGATGTCTTAAGAATTGAAACCGAGAGACATTGAAAGGCGATTTTTCATTTGCGAACAGCTGATTCAAAGACAACAAAGAAAAGGTTTTTTGCATCGGATTGGAGATGAGAAGTGGATATTCTACGAGAACCCCAAGAAGAAAAAATAGTACGCTAAGCCCGATCAATCGTTGCCATCGATCTCAACATCAATACCAAAGCCGAACATTCATGTTTTGAATATCATGCTCTGTATCTGGTGGGATCAAAAGGGTGTTGTTTACTATGAGCTGCTGAAACCTAGCGATTCCATTTACGGGCGATCGGCTAAAATTGATTCATTTGAGCCGTGCATTGCCAGAAAAACGGCCGGAATACGAGCAAAGACATGATAAAGTTATTTTTCTTCATGACAACGCTCGGCCTCATGTCGCTAAAGTAAAAAAATATTTGGAAACGCTCAAATGGGATGTTTTACCGCACCCGCCGTATTCTCCGGACATTGTTTCTTCTGATTACTGGTTGTTCCGAAGGATGCAGTACGATTTGACAAGTCACCGGTTCACTTCTCCAAAATTGGATCGCCTCCAAAAACGAGTCATTTTTTCGAGATGGAATTCGAAAGTTGCCTGAGAGATGGGAAAAAGTAGTATCGAGCGATGAACAATACTTTAATTAATCTGTTCATTCATTTTATTTTGAAATAAATGCATTTTTAAACAAAAAACGGACCGAACTAATTTGTACTCCCAATATTATTAGGGAATAACAGATTTAGTACCTATATCAGAAAATATGCATTCTACATGGAGTGCACAGTTTCTGGTAGATTGAAATTTCTTATTTCCTGTTCCTATTACTTGTATTTTTCAGGTAAGCAGAAACTAATGACGATTCTGGATAAACAATGTTTTTTTGTAGCAGCGTTTTGTTTAACAATTAATTTATGGATCTGACATTCCTGAGAGAATAATGGACATTCTACAATAAGTCATTACCTATGCTTTAAGTCATGCTATAAAGAAATTAGTTAATTTCTTACAACTTAAGACTAGAGAGCCTACAATCAGAGTGACGCCATACGGGTATCACTTGTGATTGGTCCGCCATGTTTTAGCCATTCCCTCCAGTTTTTTAAAAGCATTATTTTCTAAATTTTGAATTCATGCTAAAAAATGCTCAAAAATTGTGACAAATTAAAACATGATAATAAATAAATATTGTATATAAAATAATAAAACTTTTACATATATTATTTATACAAAAAAGTTCTGAGCTTTTTTTTGTAAAATTCAATCTTTATTCAAAAACAAACGAAAAAATATTAATCAGCGAAATATTCTCCGTTTGCATCAACGACCTTTTGCCATATTTCGGGGAGCTTGCGAATTCCTTGACGATAGAAACTCACCGGCTTCGAAGCGATAAAGTCATCAATGCATTTTCGTATCTCTTCTAATCTCACGAAATGTGTATCAGCCAAATGATGCTACAGTGATCGGAATAGGTAGTAATCGGAAGGCGCCATGTCTGGGCTATACGCCGCGTGCGGGAGAAGTTCCCAGCCT